ATTGAAACTAAGTACTTCCCATGCATGTGATCAGTTAGTATTTATCACAAAACATTGAAAGTGAGTACTTCCCATGCATGTGGTCAGTTAATATTTATCACAAAACATTGAAACTAAGTACTTCCCATGCATGTGGTCAGTTAGTATTTATCACAAAACATTGAAACTGAGTACTTCCCATGCATGTGGTCAGTTAGTACTTATCACAAAACATTGAAACTGAGTACTTCCCATGCATGTGGTCAGTTAGTACTTATCACAAAACATTGAAACTACTTCCCATGCATGTGGTCAGTTACTACTTATCACAATACATTGAAACTACTTCCCATGCATGTGGTCAGTTAGTACTTATCACAAAACATTGAAACTGAGTACTTCCCATGCATGTGGTCAGTTAGTACTTATCACAAAACATTGAAACTACTTCCCATGCATGTGGTCAGTTACTACTTATCACAATACATTGAAACTACTTCCCTTACATCTGGTCAGTTAGTAATTATCACAAAACATTGAAACTACTTCCCTTACTAGTGTTTTATACTCTGTAGCTGAATCCTAGTGTTTGAAGAACTAACTAGTATTTTATACTCTGTAGCTGAATCCTAATGTTTGAAGATCTAACTAGTGTTTATACTCTGTAGCTGAATCCTAATGTTTAAAGATCTAACTAGTATTTTATACTCTGTAGCTGAATCCTAATGTTTGAAGATCTAACTAGTGTTTATACTCTGTAGCTGAATCCTAATGTTTGAAGATCTAACTAGTGTTTTATACTCTCTGTAGCTGAAACTTTTTATCTGTCTAACCAAATTATCTGGAGTCTAAGAAAATTGAGTGGTTTCTAACAGATCACGTTTTAAGAGTTAGTTTAAAAAGTTCTGTCATTTGTCCTGAGCAGTTGCTGGTTAGACTGCCAGTTTGTGAAGGGTTGAATGATTGCAAAACCTAAAGTGAAATCTCCACCTGGAGTGTTAGATTATCTCCAGTAACATCTTGCTTGAAATAAACCACTCTTACTTATAGATGGTTTTTTTGTTTGTATGGCTGTATACAACATTTGGAGACAGATAATAATATTCTCTAAAATGTTTCAAGATGATGTTCAGAAACTATAGTCTAGAACATACAATCTTCAAATTTGAAACAGTACACATGTTCAGCTATTGAGGTTGTTAAAAATATACATTTCAATTGAGATAACTAAAACTTGCCAAGTTCACAAATATACTTTCATTCAAAATAAACAATTATCGATATAAAATATATTTATCCCAAAGCTTCCAACTGAGATAACTATAGGTTTGGTCTAAGATGCAACTTATAAAGCGAAATCTTTAATGCTGTTTAAATATCTATTTTCATTTTTAGTGTAAGATATATTTTAAAAGAACTAGAAATAAAAACATGAGCCTAAAGTAAAAAAATTGCCATGTTACAACCAAAAGTTTATG